TCCAGGAGGATGGGAACATGTGTTTGTTTAATGGCTGTGTCTGTGTCTTCAGCTCCAAGACAGGGCTTGGCAGGTGCTCAATTCATATGTGTGAATGGAATGAATAGGCATAATTTTACCAAAAGAATTTAATGTACAAAGATCAAAACCCTAAACCTTTTTAAAAAATTGTGCAATATGCAGCAAACTCTTTCATCACATGTGCATGACCCACTACAGGGTAGGCTCCCAACACTGAGGCCATACACGGCCTCTCTGAGCTGTTCCCTTTCCAGAAGAGCTGCCCACTTGACTTGGTGTTTTCTTCACACACCTCCTACTCCTCCACCCCTGTGGTCTTTCTCTAGTACACACCTACTCTTTCCCCACAAACACCACCACTTCTATGATTTCTCACAGCACTTCGGAATGTAGCTTCACTCCACAACTTACTAAACTGGGCCAAACTGTGTGCGTGCACCTGTCGCTTTCCTACCAGTCTATGGGCTGCTTAAAGGATAAGCAAATCTGTTTGTCTCTGTAGCCCCAGCTCAGTGCTTGTCTCGTAGGAAATGTCTGTACTGAAGAAGCAGCCAGCCCCAGAGGTTAAGAATAAGCAAGTGAAGGGGTCTGTGTGGTGAACATTACGGATGCTGACCAAAAGATGGGCTCCCCCGAGGCCCCGCATAAGAACTTCTTATGCCAGACTCCAAAGATTGAATACATTTGACCAATAGTTTCCCCACTGAAATTAAAAGAGCAAAGAAATTCACAGAATTCAATGAATGTGACTCATCTGTAAAACCCATGAAAGGTTAAGCTGGGGATACAAAACCTCAGGAAGACAATATTTCTTTAATAATGAAATAATTTATTATTTGTTAACAGTTGAACAATACAGAAGTTTACATATACACAGCAAAGATTCTCTAAAACATGTAGTTTCTAAAAATGCATGTGCAAACTGTAGTAAAAAGCACCATTCTCTATGGTCTTGACACAGGATTCACAATGGCATAGTATTTACATAAAGAAATAAACACATATGGAAACAGAACTTCACACCCTCCCTCTCATTTGCTACCTCCTTTCTGTTTTGTTTACTATTCAGAAGAGGCCCCCACGCTAACGGAAGATTGACAGCAATGTTCAAAGAGCACCAATTCTAGGGGCAAGGGATAAAGGCAAGTTTGGTTCTCAGGAAAAAGCTAGGAGGAAGAATCCCTCTAGTCTTCCCATAAAATAATGAAAATTTAAAAATCTGGATTATCTTAGAACTGGGTGTCTTGCTAATTCTCATTTTATAATATTAAGAAGATCAAGATAATGCTCAATATCTTCAGCCATCTAATAGCTGAATCTAGTGCTGGTCAATTACTTCATTCAGAAGAATATAAGAAAATCATCCATGTGGTAAATAGTGATAATGAAAAACCATGATAAACCACATTTTGTACTTTCTTGGGTAACTTTGAAAATGAAACATCCTAAAGTCTACAGAGATCTGACCAACCCTGTAGAACAAGCAAAAGTCACCTCACCTAAAAGGGTCTTTGGGTCTTCTTCCAGGAAGGACTTTTTAAAACAAGAGTAGCCAGCTACCTAAACATGCTGCATCAAAAAGTTGGACAGAGAAAAAAAAATAGATGGACATGCAGAAAATTGTCTTTCAGCCTAATCATGTTCAACTTTCAGGGAGGGTCACAAGGGAATACAAGTAAACTTGAGGAAAGAAGACTCAAATTCAGGGGAAAGAAACAGATTGTATAGCACAATGAAAGTAGAATTCTTGCCAATACAGTATGGTTTAAAACACTGAGAGAGAGAGAGAGAGACTGAGTGAGTGAGTGTGTGTGTACGCGCGTGCGCGCACCCAGGATTTGCTCTCATCCATTTCAGAGATTGTGAAGAGAGTCCCATAGTAAATTCAGGTTTGGGCCATTTGGGGTCTTTTTGTTTTTAAAAAAAACGGAAGTGAAAGAAAAAAAGCCCACCATAAGAAACAGCTGCATAATATGTTCAACTGCAAGAATAGGGCCTATTTAATGCTCAGTTCTGAAGTGATACTAGAATGATTTTGACTTTGGATTAAAAGAGAGAATCTGAGTCCTGCTCAAAAATGGCATGCTTTTTTAATTACTCCACTAGTGTTAGATATGGGATGAAAGAAAGGAGCCAGCAGAAGCCAGCACCTTGAAGAATCAAGATCTCTACCTGACAAAAGAAAAGCAGAACAAGAATACCCTGGGTGCTAGCCTGCCTTTCAAGACAGCCATGGGCTGGAAGGCTGTTTTCTGGGGAGTGAACAGAAGCACATGTATAAATGTTTTTCACGGCCAGAAAGGAAATCGGACTACAGACCCCATTTTCCCATTTGCATTGCTATTATATTGATAGGAGTGTGGTTCAGATTTATCTTTAGTTATTTTTAAGTCAACTTGCACATAAAAATACACATGTGCATATATGCATACACATCTACATTTACATACAATTGTCCAAGTCTTAAAGGCTGGGGTTTATATATTTGCCCATTCCCTCCCCCCCAATAACCCTCATAGAAAGGTTTTTCATTTTGCTTAAAAACAACAAAGAACAAACAACCCAACTCTATAGCTCTTAACAGTCATGCTGGTGGATCAGTGAATGAAAGAGGACAGATTGGCAAATCAGGGCTGCTGGTCAGCCACTTGAGGAAGGGGATTAGCTGCCTTGGGCTGAGTTTGCTGGTCCTAAAGGTTACAGTTTTAGATGGAGAGAGTGCTGACTGTGGCTCCCTCGAGCTCTAACCCTGGTGTTGATTTACCAAGAGTGCAATAAAAATATAGAGATCTCTTAAATTCCACATTTAAATGCAATAAAATTGAAAAGGACCAGACAGTCAGTGCAAAGGTCAAATAATTAGTTTTATATTGAACAGTACATGTCATGGCATATTTCAACCAAAAGACAAAAATGCAGTTTAACTCAAAGGCACAACAACTAAAACACAGAAAATAATCACATCTCTCAAATGCCTTATTTCTAAATTAAACAAATGGGTACACAAATATTGTTCCCTTCCCTCCCCCAACGTAGGCCCACACGTTTGCCCCAAAGTCTTGGGTTCTCGAATCTACATAGCAACCATTCTCATGGACTTGGGAGGTGCTTGAATGGAGCATTCACACAAAACATTTGAGAGGTCTAGCAAATGGCATTCAAAAAGGACCTCAAAGTGCAGATACATCTTTTTCAAACATGTTACAGGCTGTGCTGGCTTTCTGAACACTATCACTCTGCTTAAATTCAGGAAGCAGGCTTTAAAAATGCAAAAGGCATACAAGTTGTATTTCAGTGCAAATCTTCAGCTGGTAATTGGAAAAGACTCCAGCAATTAAAAAAACAAAAACAAAAAAACTTTGTCACCTGCCCCCCACACCATCCAAAGCTGAAAAGAAAAAAACAAAAACAGAAGAGATGAAAGATGATTTAGGAATCCATGACTTTCATTTTCAAAATTTAAAACATATTAAAGAATATTTTTTAAAAAAAGGTTATCTGGTTTTGTTGCAATTGCTCTTCATTTCTAGAATGAGCTTGGCTGTAGGTGTGTGGAAGGTGGAGGTGCTGGATGAGCTGTGAGGCCTGGTGTGTGAGAGACCTGGGCCAGCAGAGGAGCTCTGCAAGCTGCCTGCTACTGAGTGAGCCCTAGACCGCAGTGCCTCTGTGGATTGTGGGAATGTTCTAGTCATCTGTCCCAGCATCACAGATTTTACAAATGGTCCACATTCAATGAAAAAATTTCGCCAGAGGCTGAAAAGCATCAAGACCTCAAGAGTATGAATGCAAAAATAGTATGAGGGAATGAATCCGTTTTGTAGATATCTACATACAAAGTTTCTAGAACATCTATAAAAGCACAAAGTCATAAGAATTTATTCTTTCCATTACATTAGTTTATATAAAATGAATAAATAGTATTTATAGATTTCATATACATGTGCTCTGTTTTAGCTTAAATAAAAATGCTCCAAAGTGAGAGACCACTTAAGGGAGAAAATAACCAAAAAGAAAAATCAGCTGTTTAAACTATCAACTCAAAGCCTCCATAAAGAAGTTTTCAGGTATGTCCAAAAGTCATCAATAAGGAGAGGAATCAAGTAACACTGTACTATTTTTCCCCTATGTTGGCTTGCAATCAACAGAGTAGAAATGTGGACTTTTCCTTTTATGAACACTAGCTCAGCTAGTGCTAAAACTCAGTTATTGCTGAAAGTTAAATAGGAAAATAGGTTAGAATTGGACCAAATGTCACTCTTATTTTTTTTTGAGAGGGGGAAGGGAGGTATAAATCACTTTGAGTTATGTGAGAAATGGAGATCTCATTTATCTCTGAGGTAGGAAAAAAAAAAAGTTCCAGAGACAAGTACCATCAATAAACTTTGGGGAGGAGGGGGGAATGTGTCTTGGGAGAGCAGTACACAGCAAGGTCCCAAGAACTTCACACAAAAATAGATTGTACAATTTTGTTTGTGAGAACAAACAATATTTTAACTTGTATAAGCTGTGCAATCCTAAAGACATGCTATCAAGATGTCCATTAAAAGTGGAAAAATACTGCTCCCCTCCACACACAAGTTGGGGGAATTAGCCTGGGGTGTGTGCAAAAGGTCTGTTTTCTGGAGGTATTCCTGACTCCCTCACAGGGGTGAGGACCACGGTTCAGTGCTCTTAGATGCTGCTTTCAAAGCTTACTTTGGAGTTCAGATTCTCAACTTTAAAAGCTTATTTCCTTCAAGTTTCCTAAACACAAGACACACTCGGACATTTTTGCTGGGCAAGTAACACAGAAGCCAGAAAACTTTAAGAAAGGTCTGGTGGATTGCATGAAGATAGGAAAGAAAAGAGGAAATTGCTGAGATATGAAGGTTGGTTATTCAGTCTAAGAATTCTTGGGTGCTTCAAACTGATTGGAATGTACAGTCTCCCAGCGACAAATTTTCACAGAGAGGTGAAGCTGGTGGATGCATTCAGAAACCCACAGTCCTAAGCACTTCCTTCACAACTTGTACAAAGCTGATTTTGGTAAAAGTGGTAGGTACACTGACGTTTACGTGCAAAGTGACTGTGAGAGAATCCAGTACACTACCTAATAAGATCCGAAAGGGAGACCCATCAAGAGGAAGTCGTAGCAACCACTGTCTTTTATAGACCAAGACATGTCTTGTGACTGTCCTGGAGCTTTATTCTCTTGATGCTAGAGCTAGAGTAGCCCTCGTCGCTGCCCAGGCTCCGCATGCTGCCCTGCTCGTCAGAATCACTCACGCTGCTGCTGCTCCAGTCCAGATCCCTGGTAAGATAGTCTGTGCTTTCAACATCAACATCAATTTCTTCTGCGGGGAGGAAGAGAGAGAGAGAGAGAGAGAGAGAGATTGGTGAAGACATTGTTAAGCCATTTTCCAGCTACAGCTGGCCATAAAACCCAGGCTGAAACTCAAGCCAACTCAAGGTGAACTGTCCTTTGGATGCTAAGACCCTGATCACAGGAAAGCGGGCCCCGTTTCTAAACCGTGAGCAGTTCCCTATTTCCTCATTCATGCTCTCTCCTCATTCATGCTCTCTCCTGTGAGAAGTAGGGGCAGGATACAGTGGGCAGGGTGAAGTGGGATTGTGTAGGACGTGGAAGGGCTCACCCCTGTCAGAATCTGAGCGCACCGAGGAGACCGTCGAGCCAATGCTATCCATCCGTAGTCTCTCGATGCCCAGCTTCTCCAGCTGCCTCTTCAGGTGCCTCTGCTCTCGCTGAAGCTGGTCTATTTGGTGAATGGCTTTTCTGTCACAATCTTCAAGTTTCTGAAAGTCAAAAAGGTAGCTTTTGGAGCCTACCAGTGGACTTCGTAATTATGAATAACCCTGCACCTTCTTCTCTAGCAATGAATTATGCCAGATCTCCTGTGGAGCCACTGGAGTTATCCCCGTGAAGCTCCTCATCGAGACGGGAAGCTCACTGGCCCATGAAAGCTGGCTTCATCTACCTCAGCATCAAACACTGTGGGGACTTGTTTCTTCACAGAGCTTCAAGAACAAGTCCCAACTCCACCAACCATGACCCTTCCATTTTAATTATCAAAGAGATTGCAGGCAAGAGCTCTGGACTTGGTCTTTCTTTTTAGTAGTGATATCCTCAGCCTCTTACCACAGGGTTAGAAAACTGCACATTATGGCAGCTTGAAAAAGACAACCCCATTTAAAGCAATGTTATTCAAGTGCATGTCTAAGTACATCAGTACTTTTTTTTTCAGTCACACCAATTAACTAACTATTCTTGGTTAGCACAAAATAATGGTTCTTTTTGAAAGTGTGATACTAAATTGTTCAATATGAGAACTTGGGAAGCACATTTCCATAGACCACTTGGTTTTCCAAACTGCTCTCTGCTTATCATATTTTTCAGGTAATTAAAGATTTTTTTTAATTGTAGTTGTTTTGCTTTAAAGAGCATTCTTTACACCCTGAAATGTCATACATTAAGGCTAGTAATGATAATAACTGGATTAATGATATTTGTCCTTCCACAGCGTGAATATGCAAACATACTAGAGTGGTTTTGTCTACAGTTCTCAAGAGTCTGAATACAACTCAGACTACTCTCTGCTACTCAAGCTACATACTGAGTTTCAAGTCTGTTCCAGGGACCCAAGAGGTGCTGAGAACAGGTGTGCATGAAGGCAGTTTCTACAGACACTACTGAGTTTATGGTCTAATGATGCAGACAATCCAGCGGTCACCAAAAAAAATCCAGATTTCAACTGTGACATGTGCTCCAAGGGAGATACCTGATACCAGAACTACCCGTTACTGGAAGAAAGTGAGCCAGTCAGGAAGGCAGGAAAGCGTCCAGCATTCATGCCCCTTACACCACGATCTGGATGGTCATTAGACATTAATTAGGTGAAGAAGGCAGTTAACTAAGTCAAACAGCCCACCAAGAAGAGAAAACAAAATACAGAGATCCCCGTGGTTAAAAGGGAGCACGGCAAAGGCAAATGACTGAACACAGAGCTGGACTGGGGAGTGGTGCACGGTGCTGCTGCAGAGATAGGAGAGGACCAGGCAGAGTCTCGGCATCTGATCACAGAGCTTGTGACGAGCCCCAGAAGGGTTAAGGACGAGGTGTGATGATCTGAGCTTTGAAAGGACTGGGCTAGAGAGGTGTGGAAGGGCTCAGATGAATATAAGGTGATGTCTTATGGGTGCTGCAGAAGGCGATGCTCGGGTGGAGATGGAAATAGACAAGGTTGTGAAGGTTAGGTCTGGGAGACGGCTTAGACAGAGAGGGTGAAGGGGCAGAAGCTGTCATGAATGACTCCTGAGATGACGGGCAGCTTAATGAGACCCTTTCACCTCCAGTACTTAACGTATCAGTGGGCTCTAGGACACATCAATTTTTAAGTGCCTGCAATTCATCTAAAAGGCAGGGTGGAGTAGCTGAGGAGAAGTCTGTCACTGAGTCTTCAGGTTTGGAAGGTTGGACTTATGGCCAACTCATATCATTAATATGATGCAAATTTTTCCTCACTTTGAAACACTGACCCTCACCTCTGCTTGCAACAGATTCTACCATCACAATCACCTTCATTTGCTGCATGTGCAGCTTTTAAATCATTGGAAAGTCTTCAAACCTCGTCTTACACTAAAATAAAAAAAAATTAACAACAAAAATCCCACAAAACCACAAACTCATTGCTGTCAAGTCAGAACTGAGTCATAGCTGACCTCCCAAAAGGTTTTCAGAGGCAATAAACTGTATGGGAGGAAACTGCCTATCTTTCCCCTGAATCTTGCACTGAACAAACCAGACATAGCTACTGGTTCTGACTTATCTACAATTTTGATTCACCAACACCCTTAGTAACAGGTTTTATTTGTAACCCAGGTACTGCTGTATATATACATTTGCTATCTTTTCTAACAACACACAAATGCTTCCTGGACAGGTAAAAACAGAAAGGCTTCCTGAGGATGTACTTACCTTTATGTGCAATTTGGCTTTCGTTAATAAACTCAATGTAGTGTGTCGATTTGATTCGGGCCCAAGTGGGACCAGCCCCTTCAACTTTTCCAGGCACAAGCGAAGGTGGGCTCGTCTACAAAAACAAAATTGACAGCATTTAAGAATTTAACAGTGAATCATAATGCACTTCAGCAAGAATGTGTCCTGAAACTCTAAGATGACTCCAGCCCAGGCATAGCAAATGCCACCGTCTAAAGACCTCTTGTCAAATAGACATTTGCTGAAATCAGACAATGCTGGATTAAGTCATGAGAAGTCAAATCCAAAGTTTTCTCAATAAACTATGTTTATTGGCAACATAGTTGTCTAATTCAGGGACTGCTATCTACCACTATAGACACATTTATCAGGTTATCTCCAGATTTCTGGGTTATAGTGTGTCCAAATTAAGAAAATAAAGATCCAAGCGTGAAAATTCTCTCAATGCACCTTTCTCCTTCCTCATCCAGGGACACTAAATCACTATAGCTATTCTTTTTGTTCTGCTGCACTGCCAACCCAGAGGTAGGCAGTTCAAAACCACCAGCTGCTCTGGGGGAGAGAGATGGGCAATCTCCTCCTGTGCAATTTACAGTCTCTGAAAATCTCCTAGAGGGTCAGCTATGAATTGATTCCAACTTCACTGCACATAACATCAACGATACAACAGTATTTGTGTACATGGGAATGAGAAATGCACATGGTTATGTTATAATGTTTTCTGTAATAGCAAAGGTTAAAACAACCCAAATGACTCTCTGTAGGGTACTGGTTCTGTGATGGTATATCCAGCCCATGGAGTACTATGCTATCAGAAAACAAAGCGAGCCTGTTCTATGTAGAATTAGGGAAGATCTCCCAGACATGTTGTTAAGAAAGCAAGGTAGCAGGCTGTGTGTACAAAATGCTATTTAATGTTGTGTATAATATGCTCTTGTATGTATATGTATGTATGTGTATATGTATGCATATACACATACAGCATATACACATACATACAATAGCATATTGTATACATAAGTAAGAATCTCTAGTCATATTTCTTTTACGTGCATAAAGAAACTCTGAAAAGGCTACTAATAAAACCAATTTCCTCTGTAAATTTTCACTAAAATTACAATTAAAACTTTTGGGTGTTTGGGGTTGTTTTTTTTTTAAGGGGAGTCAGTAAAAGCAGTGTTCACCTGGGGTTGCTCTTACCCCCTCTCCTTTCTACTGACAGCATACTATAAGGTTTGGGTTCCCCCTTTTCCCTCTTCTTGTTCACTTTCACTCCTTTGCACGGCCCACCTTTCACTAGTTTTCCCTCTATCTTATTGCTGTAATAAGCCTTCTTCACTTGTTTTGCTAAAAAATAAAATGTTTTTTTAAAAAAACCACAACACTGTAGTAATAGTGATTGGGCAAGGAGAAGGCAGTGAACAACAACTAGGGATTTAAAAAAAGAGGTAATTTTTACTGAACATTTTTATACCACTTCAACAATATAAATCTATTAGTATTCAAAAAGTCAAATCATTCTTAAAAAAAAAAAAAGGAAAAATATGTCACTGATATTGCTATACTAACAACCATGCTGTGCACCCAGAGGGAACCGTACCCAGGTCTCGGAGCCTAGCAATAAGAACAGAGCAGGAGAAGCAGAAAGACCAGATGCAAAGGAAGCCTTTAGTGACAAACTTGAACACAAGCACAAAATTCCCTCACTTTTTAGGAACTGAGTAACATTTCGCTAAATCTTGTGTTTGGGATTTATGTTCTGTAACTTTAAACTAGAACCCTAGCATTAGCAGATTTGATGAATATGAGAAGGGAACAGAGTCAGAGGTTTTTATTTGGGCTCGCTACCACCTTAGTCTTCTCAGGCCACGCAGGCCCACAGTTTTCTGAATAATGGTGTGTTTCTATCATTCAGTGGAAAGTTCACTATATTGCCTAAACTGTTTGGTATCTGGAAAACTCTTTAAGAAGGCTGAAGCTACAGCTTAATCATTGTTGTGTTCTTATAACATTTCACACATCAATGTTTAATAACTGTTTTCTGAATGGATTAAGTAATTCAAACCAGACTTTAAGTTCATAAAGGGCAGAGTCCATCCCTATTACATCTTCGCACTTGAAGCAATGTTAAATATCTTTTCTTTAAAAGAAAAAGTTTTCAATGTTCACTGCTCACACAAGACAATCTGGAGCAAGGCTCAGCTGGTCTATGATGCTCTCAAGAGAACCGTGAGACAACTGTAATGCCTTCAAGCTTAGTATGCCTTTTCTCCTTCTTAAGAATTTTACTGTTCTAGTAAAAGTTAGGAAAACAGACCAAAGCAAGCCGATCTGAAAGCTATGTTGCTGCGGTTGCTAGGTGCCATCAAGGTGACTAAGACTCCAGGTGACCGTCTGAACACCAGATAGAAATTCTGCCCCCTTCTGCATCATCCACTCACGCCCAAGGTGGCTGGCTGTCACTATGTCAGTCCATCTCCTTAAACATCTTCCTCTATTTTGTTGACCTACTTTTCCCAGTATGGTGTGTTTTTCCAAGAACTTGCTTCTCCTGACAACATGCCCCGAGGATGTGAGATGAGGTTTCTCCATCTTTGCCTCTAAGGAGGACCCCCCCACCCCCGACCTCACTTCTTCCAAGCCAGGCCAGTGTGCACGACCTTGACCTCTACGTCCTCAGGACTCTAGGATGTTCCCCCAGGAAAGTCCAGTCATTGTTGCCTTTTATATCTTTCTGAGTGTCCTTCCTTCCTTGGATCATGAAGGTGTTATCCTACACTCTCCAAGGGACCTCAAGCTGGAGGAGTGTGGCACTCATTTCTGAGCTAGGAAGGTTTTAACTGTACAAATGTCTTATTTTTTTATAAGATTTCTACTTGCTGTGAAAACCTGTTCACTCACATTAGAATTTGGTTCCTCCCCCCTACGACATGAAATAAAAACAAGGAAAGAAAAAGCACAAGCTGTGTATAAAACCTGCTTGGACAATAACCTTCCTCAAAAAGAATTATGAAAATAGATTGTTATTAGAAATACCCTGAGAAAAATCTAATTATTTACCTACACAGCTCTCCAATCTTAGTTCTCACTACAATCTTCATAGTTTAACTTTCAAATTAGCAATAAAAGTTCAAAACTTTAAATCAGGCTTAAATAGGTTCAGTCTGCTTGCTATCTGCAAAGGCTGCCTGATTCAAAAGAATGATATATTTATCCCTATATGATGTGGCTTCTTATACAGATACGAGCATGTCAGTTTTTCAGGAAGTTTGTTTACTGATACGATGTAAGAGTAAAGTCATCTTTCCATGCAGTGTCATTTCTTGGTACACAGAAGTCTAGACAAGAGAGCACAATCTTCACCATCCAAATGTGGGTCTCTGAAGCACATCCCCGCTTGGGAAACTATAAACTATAATTCAAAGTAAGGGAAAGACATTCAGTGTCTTGTCTTTGTTGTGCCTGCCTGACTCTGCCCAGGTCTCACTGCCCTGGTCGGCCATGTGTCCTGCCTGCCTGCCACCCATCTGCAGACACATCCCCATGTCTGTACCTGTGCCAACCACAACGGCAGGATGAAGTATATTAGGCAGGTCCAGTTCCAATGCATAGTAGTGAAATTCAATCTCTGAACCAGATAAAAGAACAAATAGGCCCCTCCGTAACATCTATAACAGCTTCTCCCACAGATCTGTAACCCTGAGGCAGATACATGTACAACATAACACCCCTCCTCCTCCTCTATATATTATGTCATCTGTATCCTTTACTCAGCCCTGTACACCCATGAAGCTTCTGGATCTGAAACAAGTAGAGCGAGTGGCTGCTTAACTCTCAGGCTTCAATCCTGTGGAGGAGCCTAGTATCCCATTTTGAATAAGGTCCAGCTTCCTCCGAAACTAGCAGGAATTGTGCCACATTTGGTCATGTATCCTCAACAAGAAGCCACCTAATATTGACTCCTACTTGTCTTCTCCACATTTTCATCAGATTTCACTCATAGCAAGAACTGCTCCCAGCTCTCTGCCCCCAGCCGGAGAGCTCCTTCCTTCCTTTTCCTTTTGCACAAAGAGTTAAGTGCTCAATGACTAGATGAAAAATTGGTGGTTTGGACCCACCCAGAAGCGCCTTGGAAGATGAGCCTGGTGATGTTCTTCTAAAAGTCCACCACTTTGTGCTCACTTTGCCAGCACATACTCTAAAACTGGGACAATAAAGAGACAAGCATGGCCCCGGTGCAAGGATGACACGCAAATCTGTCAGTGGTCCCATTTAGAAATTTGTCTGAGCCTGATTTCACCAGTAACCTAACTGGTAAAGATCATATCCAAGTGTATATGAATATATATTTTTATTTTATTGAACTAACTGACCCAGGACCATTACAGAGAGCTGACTGAATGTTCAGCTGACACAGTCCTGGCCTACCCAGAAACCCCTGATGACGTCTCCTGCTATTGTATAAATTGGACATTTTTGGAATTTTAAACTTTAAATGATGATTTGGTTTCTTTTCTATTTTATTTTTATTTTGACCAATGTGATAACTTAAACAAATAAACCGGGATCTTTGTTTTAAAGATTATAAAACCAATTGCATGTGTATATATATACACAGCTTTTCAGAGTCCACGGCTTTCACTACGTTACAGGACATGATCCCATGTAGTACATAGAAAACTGCAGGGTGATCTCCCTTGAGTGCCTGATAGTATTAATTTTATCTCCATATATGCTGTGTTCCTTTAGCTGCTGTGTGATTATAGAGATGTGCACAGTAGGGTTCTCAATATGGTCCAGAGAAGCACAGCAGCTAATACTTAGGCTGGAAATGTTTCCTCATGGGATGTAAGTAAAACTTGAGTGTTTGTCACCAATAAATGGTAGTACTAAAAAAAAAAAATAAATTCACCACCTTAAAAACACTATGCAACAGCTGTCCTCTCACACCATGAGATGGAATCAACTGGACAGAATCTAACTAATTAATTATATACTGCTTTGGACTCGAGTCATGAACTTTGACTACTTGCTGACTCTCCAGAGAGATCACTAATTATTTTGAATGGTCTGATATACCTTTGGTCTTGAGTA